ATCGTGACTGTTCAACTCTCGGTGAGTGGTACGGTACTCTGAGCTTAAGGACGGTGTCTGTAAGTATTTGATGGTAGGTAAGTTAGAACTCAAGTGTGCTTGCTCCCTGAGCCAGTGTGTCATAGACGGACTATACAACAACATAAACAATAGAAACAATAAGAGTCCAGTTCATAAGTTTTGACATGGAATGAAAAGGGTGACCAAATATTGCCCAGGGCTTGAGCTGATGTTCTTGTTCTTATCAACTCAATGTTCCCTCACCCGAGCCCTGCATCCTTTGTTCAACACATGTCAACCAACGTGAACCGTCTTTGTCCAAGAAATCTTCCTTGGCTACCCAGGACACACACTATGGTTCTTTGATACCCGGTTTAGATCCCCGAGTTCCATTATTCGTCTAGTGTCGTCGAGTGTTCATTTATTCTTGACTGATGCACAAAGAACTTGAGAAGAATCAGGCAAAGTTCGCAGATGGGGCATCCATGAGACTAACGATAATGTCATTCGTAACCAATCGCACTTTGTCCGTGAGCCTCTTTTTGTCTTGACGGGTTTGCTGAGACTTGACCATTGTGTGTGCGAGCGCATCAGATGGACCCCCTGGGCCGAATCTGTTTCTTTGTTGTCGTCTCTATTCACCCATCGAACGGGCCAGTGCCTTTTCAATACAGCCTCTTCATCACCGGTATTAGCAAAATAATGAGGCTGGCCCCTCTTGGTCCAAGTGTGAACGCATCTCATACTCAGAAGCTGGAGAATAGCTTCATTTCAAAAACGCCACTCTACTGAAAGAATACAATACGAAATTCCTGCTTTTGTATCTACACAAACTCTTCACATCATACCACTGTGCTCTAGGAGGCTAACCTGCCATTGGCGTCCTAATTGTTAATGCTTTTCGCCATGCCTTCCAGAGAGTCCATCCCGTTTTCCCGTCAAAAAAACGCTCAATTATCCTCGATTAACCCCAGTGTACATACATATCTAATGGTCTTCACTTTCAAATTCCCCACCAGTCCATCTTGTTCCTCTAATACCGGCTAGATGTCGTATCAAGAAGCAACAGAGCACCAAACCCGTCTCCCCGTTTGCGATTAACACGGAGCCTCCACTATCTTCTCATTAAGTCCATAACCTCGCCTAACCCGAGAACTGGAAGCGCGTGGCCTCGAGCTGGCCGAGTCCGTCGCGGGGTGCCACATTTCGTCGTCTGTAGGTATTGGTGAAATCTTGCAGAATCGCGCGCACATTCTTCATGGCGCTGGGGTCTCCCGACTCAAGCCTCTCTTTGATCTTGATCAGGAATCTGTTGGCCTCGGCAGGGGAAACAGTGCCCTCTGGTAGTAGCTGTATTGTGTGGGAGACCCATTGGTGAGTCTGGAGAGGAACCAGCTCAAACAACGCCAACAGAACACCACTGCCATCAGCGAAACAGTCGCGGGGGAAGGTGATCATCATGCCCGCCATGACCTGCTTGACCAGACCCTCGCCAAGAGTAAGTAGCAGATTCTTGACAATGGCCTTGACCTCCGCAGCCGTTGTCTCCGGTAGCCTATCGCTACTAGCAGGGTTATCACCACCGTATGACAAGAGATCACGGAGGAAATGCAGCGTTGAGGACAGAGGGTCTCGCTGCTCTAGAGTTAGAGCGTAGATGGACGCCTCAAAGACAGACCTTAGAAGATGAGATGGAATGAGCTTCTGGGGGTAGTAGAGAAGGGCGTCAATCAAAAGGCGGAAGAAGTCATCAATAACGTCAGGGAGTTCCTTAGGTTGTAGTTCCGTCATGACTCGGAGGAAGGTTGTTGTCTGGGCTTCAAAAAATGTGTAAATGTTCTCAGTGGTGGCTTGGTCAACGTGCTCTCGTGCTTCAGAGAATTCGCGCAGGATCGCTGAAGTGACCCACAAGAAACATCCTTCCCTTGAGTTGTTGAAGCCGCCCGCAAGCTTGTTTGCCATTTCCGGGAGCAAAGGGGTCATGGCTGTGCGATGGGCAATGACCATATTGCGCCAACACCTGCAGACGCGCTCGCAGATGGGAGTGAAGTTCAAGAAGTTGTCCAGTACGGTGGAAAGGATGGGGAAAACCTCCTGCCAGTACTTGACAGCAGGGTTCTCCTGACCAGGGCTCACAGGGGGCACGACGTATTGAACAAAGATGGTGATGAGCTGCAGATGATCTAAAACGGTGTTAGTCTTGCTTGCTGAATTGAACTCGGGCTTACTTACCAGCGAGCGCCAATTTACCCTCCTCGTCTGTAGCATTATTGGCTTTGGCCATCAAACGCTGGATCAATGGGTCGCAGTATAGCTTGAGCAATCGGTAAATCTCCTCCGTGGGCTGGCAAGCCACAACGTTAGCAACACCCTCTGTGATCTCTTCCTTACTCAAGTCTGGGAGCTTATCCAGCACTTCATCATAGAAGGTCTGAAGCTGCAGCACTTGGCCACTCAGGAGGTGCTTGCAATCTGTACAGAAGAACTTGATAGCCAACGCGGCGGCGCGGATGATCTCCCTGGAATCCGACTGGAATGATGTGACGATGTAGTTGAATTGGGGCTCGAGATATTCCGGATGGGCAGCTGTCCATTCAGTATAGCGGCCGAGTACCATGATGGTTGCAAAGCGGAGCTTCTCGTGGCTCGGCATCTGTACAAGGAGAGGCATGAGCTGGCGGAGCACAATACTCTCATCCTTGTCCACCATGCGACCGAGAGCGCGCAGGGCAAATAAAGGCGCCTCCAGCTCCTGCCAGTGAGGTACTGAGTTATCGTTCACTTGGTTGGCGTACTTTGACATCCACAGCTGAATTGCTTGGAGAACCTTGGTGAGACAGTCCGTAACGCCCATCACCTCGCAGCAATCCTTTAGTGTGTCGCCCATCTGGTGTCGAAACTCTCTGAATTTCTCCTCTTGCTCGCGATCTCCGTCGAATAGATCATTTTCGTTACCCGAGTCCGGCTTAGGGTATTCAAGGTGCTTTAAGAGAATGTCCACCAACTTGGAGTAGACGTCAACAAGCTCAAGCCGACCTTGGATATAGATCTCCAGCACAAGATAGAGCTTCAGCTCGTACCAAAAGTTAAAGGTATGCTCAATAACATCGCGCTCCTTGTCTCTCAAGGCGCATTCCAGTACAGCGTCAACTAGTGGTCGGAAATGTGTAGGTTGGCGGGCAATTCCAACGACCCAGCTCTCTGCAGCAGTTGCAAACACCTTAGTCAAAGACTTGAGTGTCTCTGTGTCATCCTCCTCGGCTGCCTTGGCCACTTGGGGCTTCAAGGAGATGATTCGTGGAAATAGTAGCTCGATGATCTCCTGACTCTCGTCGACGTCGCTGGTCTCTCGAAGCATGGTGCACAGACACTCGGAAGCCTCCTGGCTGCAACCATCGCTAGTTGTGCCGTTGAAAACAATATCCATTAGAGGCGACTTGACAACATTGCCTACTGGGACCTCTCGAAGCCAGGAAGTGATGCACTCCATCAACTGAGGGTTCTGAGCGGCTGCCGCTGCGATAGATGTTAGTAACTTGGTGGTGGCGGAAGGTCGCGCAACTTACGTGAGGACTGAGAATAGTTGATAAGGAGTTGGACGACCTGGTCCGCATTATCGGCCAAGAGAGCCTGCGTTCGCATCGCAAGATCTTCTTCCTAATTCCAAACAATTAGACTTGAACTGGTGTTGAGGTCGACCGGATTTGACAATCTCGAAAGAAGCGAATTCCCGATCTATGGTTGCGCGATCCACGTACAGACAAGGTGATCTTTCGACCCTCGGTGACTTCTTCAGGGAGAACCCTCAGGAAATCCAAAATGCAGGCGTGGCTCTCGGAGCTGTCACTAAGCGACTGAACGACAGAAGGCAGAACATCGTTCCAGTCCTTCATTTGGATCGCTAGAATGGCCAGACACACACAGAGCTGGACACGGATAGGCTTGGGACCCGGGGCGAAGTGCTTTAGTAGTAAGAGGATTTGGTTTCGAAGGGCAGGTAGTTCGTTCGCAGGAACTTGGGTAGAGAGGTCGTATGTGATCTGGAAGGGAGAAGTCAACAGTGAGGCCGAGGTGTATATCACAAGCTTCAAACCTTTCCACGCAGGGTAATGGCGGCAAAGAGGGTTGCCTCTGGCTCGGCATCAGACTGCAGAATACCCATTATAGTTGCCCATGAATCCTTCTATACATATCCAGCGTTAGCGACCTAGCCGTATGAAAAAGAGCCTGTAGCGACGCACTGATTTCTGAAACCTCTCTAAGTACTCGTGGGCGTGCTTCTTGGCCTCTTGCTCCCCGCTCCTCATAGTCATAACAGCAGCCAGCACATCAGGCGGCGCAAAAGCCTCCTGGGCCCCGTTTGAAGCCATTTCGTTTTGAAGGGTAAACAGGGGATATCAAAGTTGAGTGTCGGGGTATATGGCTATGATGCGCACGATCGACCTTCGTGAGTAGTGGCACATGCAAAGGGGGGCAGCAGTTGGGATCGATGAGGCTCCTATGGATCGCGAGGGAAAACTTTGGCGAGAGGATAAGTCGAGAGAACCGGTTGAGAAGGAAGGAAAGAATGGAAGTATAGTACGGAGCCCAGAAGGCAAACAAGTTCGGAAATTCAAGAGAGCAGGTAATTCAATGACCTGGCTAAAGTTTGTTTAAGGTCAGGATAAGTGCCTACTAGAAGTATTTACGATTCTTAGGTTGCTTGTCATGGCCATGGCGGGGCAACCGCCCGGATATTACCCGACATCTCAAGTTTGACTACTCCGCAACATGGCACACCTCATGGACGAAACATATATGCATCTCTGGAATTATCAATAACAGTGGAAAAACACGAAACTCAAACATTCGATTCATGATATCTGATAACAGAGCTTCGTGTTTGTGCTGAGAATAGTCTGTCAACTATCTGAACAACAGAGCTGAACCTATTGTACCTATACCTGGCTGGGAATATCACGTGGCCCCCAAATCATATACCAAGCCCTTCAATTTTAACGTTATAGATCTTGTCGTGGATATCGCGAAGTAGAAGCTTCATGCACACCGGCCTTGATCTCGCCGTTTCCAAGAATAAGGCCATTGAGTCTACGGTCGTGAGTGTCTGTGGGAATCTGAAGCTCCGACGTAGCAGGCACCATCTGTTCTGTCAAAGCCAAGCCATACAAATGTAGCGGGTTCTCGTGCGCTATGCCCTTTTTTTCGAGCTTGGCCATGTATCTGTTGATAAAGAAATCATAAAAGCCCTTGCCGTGGCCAAGGCGTCGAATTGACCCTGACTGGTCAAAATCGAATGCGACTCCGGGCACAACCATGAAGTCTAGAATTGCGGGCTCGGAATTCTGGACGTCTGAACCACCCAGTATACGTCTTCTCGCATCGACAGTAGCTGGGTCAACGCTGGGAATCCCCCACTTATCCAACTTTAGGCTCTCATAGTCCTGGACGTCTTTTAGGTGAACCATGTCCATAACCCGAGCTGGAGTATCCGGCGTTTGAAAGGGCGACTTGTGTAAATAAGGAACAAAGACCTGCTTGCCATCAGATAAGGCATGGCGCACAATAGCATCTGTCTGGACCTCAGCCGTCGGCATAGCCAGATAGATGCTGACGCGCCGAGCATCCTTATAAGGCTGAAACTCTTTCAAGGTCTCGAAAATACAGCGACCTGTATGACTGGTGTTAGGGGAAGCGTTCTACGAATAGACACATGACATGATAATGAGTGATTGGTTGGTTATCATACTCTGAGTTGTGATGGAGTCCTGGGTGATCTTGGACAGCTTCTGCTTCATGAGACTTCTCAGCTGCTGCTTAGCAGCGGGAAGGGATGACGCCATGACGAGGCTGACAAGACAGATGAACCAAGATGGTGGATTGGCGATTGTTCCTGTTTGTTGGTGGAAAACTGTATTTTGAATAACGTGCTGGAGAACCCACCTCGGAAGGATGCTGCGCTAAGAATCAAAAGCTCCCGGTGTGACACGCCCTTGGGACCGACGGAGCGGATACGCGCCGAACCCAAATCGCTCTCTGGCGTCATCGCCATCATGTGAACGGAAGCCGACGCCGTCTAACGTTGAGACATGACAGGCGGTATCGGCGGTGAGACCCGAGGAGATAAAATGAAAGCCTAATTCCACTCCAATAGCCCTTACATCTGCATGTCAGTCGACAACGGCGGATATTGAGGAAAAGACGCCAATGCGAATATTTTGGGAGCGTCAATCATCGATCCTGGGCTTTAGTTCGAGGAAAAGACGGCTCAGTACGTAACGACTTTCATAAAGAAGCTGCGGTGTCGAGCTGGGGTTTCTTAACACTCATCAACCATGTATGGTTGTCTGTAAGTACTGTATAACATGAGAAGATGACATCTCCACCATGTAGGTAGGTAGGTAGCAGGTAGGTAGGTAGCAAGTAGTTAGGCTGCAGACGACGATTGTAAATGCAATTGAGATCAGATTGTTTGAATTGTCAGGTCTCGGATTGGCAGAAATTCTCAAACGGCACAGGTAATTCGAGCCTGGTGCTACAAACCACGAAAAAACGTCCGTGTCTCATGGTTCACCATGTGCCAGAAAAAGCTCATCATTTGCAATAGGAGACATTCTATTGCTCAGAAGTTGGGACAAACAACCCAGTCTTGGCTAGCTAAAGCCATGTCTCAGGCATTGCTGACGAGGAACAAGTTTGAGCATGGGTGGTTAACGCGTGGGATGTCTGAAATGAGGATCCAAATTCCTTCCAGGGACTGGGGCGTGTCATAAGAAGAGCCTTCAGGGGTCCACTGCCTATAGAGAGGAATAGGATTCACTCACTACCAGATCGTTTTGCAACGAGGCAGAAGGCAGAAGTATAGTGGCTCGATTACGACAAACAGCGGCAGATCTACAAGTTCAGCAGTATAAGGTTCGGAGGCTGTTAAGCTACCTAGGGGATGAAAGAAAACACAGGACCTCGATCCTAATGACAAAAAGATTTATAGCCTATGCTTAGGGTGACTTTTGCTAAGTTTATTTTGACACCCCACAGCAAGGTTCGCTGTTTTCTTGCCCCTAGAGGGCTACCTATCTGGATCGTCAAAGGGTCAGGAACGGTTCCTAGGTGCTCTGATAGCGACAGAGACGGGACGAAACAGGCCAGACATAGCACAGCCAGGGTGCCATTGTAAAACACAGGGATTTGGGTTGTGATTGTGATCACATCTTCGGGTGTTATCTAATCAGATCCATCAACCATCCTCAGAAATTTGAGCTTTCCCTGTCCTGTGGCCTGTAGCCGAGATGGGGACGTCAGGGGTTTTGGTTCGGCCCGCTTGTTTGTTGCCGGCTTTGACGATGAGGTGCTTGGTGCTCAGTGCGTCTCGGAGACGGGAACAAGGGTTGTATGACCGAGAATGAGGAAAGATATAGATCAAGAGCATCTCTACGGCTCGTCAAACACCAGTATACTGCAGCCACTTTCAGGCTGTGAGTACCCTATATGTCTGATTCGTTATATTGGATGGCACCGAAACCTCCCAGAATTGAGTGCACTGCTGTACATATGAAACTGATGAACAGATGGCCTGGGAGACTACCCAATAAACATGCGAGATGAAGGACAGCCAGCCATTCATTCATTTTTGGCAAAGATATGAGTGCTCCCTTGTGGAATGGTACTTGGTTGCCCAATTATTTGTGAATTGCAATTGGATAGTTGTCATTCCTGGCATCTTCGGGAAGCATTGTTAGCAAGTCATGCAACTGTCAATAGTGCTTTGGGCATGAAATTCATCATCCACATCAACGCTCATGTGGTCTATTCTTCTGATACACCGCATACTCTCCGAGTCATACCAAAAGCCATTGCGCGAGCTGAATACCATACCATTAACTCATGCACAATGCTCAATGTTTTGTCCTGCCTCAGTAGCTTAGTACCTAGATTGCCGTCATCCCGTCACCAACTCCCCTGGTCACCATCCACTCAAAACCCTTGAACACCCCACGCGTAAAGACAGGGCTGTCTTCTCCAAAAGCTCTTGCTTGATTGATGGGCATTCCCGTAACGCGCCGTAGCCTTGCTTTTTTATTATGCATTATGTCTTTCTACCTATCACTGTCTTTGGATATGCTTTGCTGTCATTAATGCCATCCACCTGCTGTCAATTGGATCCCTTTGAGGCACTTTGCTAGCGGACGGCCCCTCTAACCACATTTTCTCATGGTATCAGGGCCCTTTTGATGCTGCTCCATACCATTACAAGGCAATGCCACACGCCAGATCGATGAGAGCTGGAGCCTGTTCGATCACGCCCCTCCTAAGTCGCTACCTATTTCGTTCACGCTGGCTTGGCTTGCTAGTCGACGATAGTGTGGATAGCATCCATATCCATAGCTAAGGTGGCCAGCCAAATACTGATACACGAAACACGCCCCCGCCATGGGCAAACACACCACCAACTCATCCTCGGCCTCCATCTCTTCCAGCAAACGAAGCCTAAGCCGCCAATCTTCAGCGTCTTCGTCCCTGGCAGAGAGGGTTGGAGACAGGGTTGCTGGTGATTCCCCTCCACTCCGCCAGGACGTCGCCCTTCAGCCCCTAACATCCACATCCACGTCTGCATCCTCATCCTCTGCCAGGTCCACTGTGACTGTCTCACCCTCACACCCAGTCCAAGCCAAGGGTCATGTCTTGCCGTATCAGGCTCCGGCCTCTCATATACCTCCTCCATCATTAAGTACCGCTGCTACCCCAGCTGCATCTGCATTTGCATCTACACCTGCATCTGCATCTACTTCTACTCACGCTTCGGCTCCAACCTCAGCTGCTATTCCACCGGTTCTCGTTGGTAATCAAGATGCGGCGCAGCCTCTTGATCATATCGATTCCGACGATAGTCTAGATGCCATCCCTCAACCCATAGACGACACTATAGATATGGCTTCCAAGAAGACGCCCTTCTTGCGCTCCGCCGCCGCTCGCTCCGATGCTGCTCCCTACGGTTCGGTCTCACTAACACCCAGTCGCAACAATTCACCCGCTGGTAGTGATCGCTGGGATCCCGATTCCCACCAGCTCCGTCACGTTCCGGATACAATGCGCAGCGAGGCCTCGCACCGCTCCACCCTTGGCAAGAAATCCTCCTCGAGGTTATCAGAAGAGATCGATGGCGCCGTCCTAGTCTCGGGCCTTGAAGGCCGCCTGGGCATTACCGAACCTACACATACTGGTGTTCTCGAGGGTAGCATGAAGGACGACTTGTCCGAAGATGGCGCACTGCTGGATGACGCTTCCTCGGCCGCATCAGATTCTGAGCATCAAGAAAACTCGCCTCACGAGGCTGTTCGCGCGTCCGTTCCGCCTACAGACAATACCACTCTATCCATAAATACGCCACGCATGTGGTGTCTCTCTGTCATTTTCGCCATTCTAGGCTCTTCGACCAATCTGTTCTTCTCTTTAAGATACCCCAGTGTTGCCATTACTCCAGTTATTGCCTTATTGCTTGTCCATCCTCTTGGACATCTGTGGGATTTTGTGCTAAAACGACCTTATGACCCCGAGGAGGAGTTTATCGATGGTGTACGGACGACTTCTGTCAGCGACGATGCGCATGGATCGCATAAGATCAAGAGACGCACGCGTTGGAGGAGATGGCTAGCGCAAGGTCGTTGGAACGAAAAGGAACATACTTGCGTCTATGTCAGTAGCAACGTTGCATTTGGCTTCGCCTTTGCGACAGATGTTATCGTTGAGCAGACTCAGTTCTACAACCAGGAAGCTCCTATCGTGTACCAACTTCTTCTCACTATATCCACCCAGATTCTCGGTTATGGCTTTGCAGGCATAACGCGCCGCTTCCTAGTTCGACCCAGTGGAATGATCTGGCCGGGGACTCTTATGTCGGCAGCTATGTTCTCGACGCTTCACAAACAGGAGAACAAACCTGCCGGAGGCTGGACCATTAGCAGGTGGAAATTCTTCTACATTGTCTGGACTATATCTTTCCTCTTCTATTTTCTCCCTGGACTACTTATGCCAGCACTCAGCTATTTCAACGTCATCACCTGGTTTGCGCCCAAAAATGTCGTTATCGCAAATCTGTTCGGCGTATCTTCCGGTCTTGGGCTCTTTCCCCTGACCTTTGACTGGGCGCAAGTGACCTACGTTGGCTCACCGTTACTTGTCCCGTTCTGGGCTGCTATGAATGTTATCGGAGGTCTAGCTGTGGTAATGTGGATTATTGCACCTATTCTCTACTACACCAACGTTCTCTTCTCATCGTACATGCCGATTCTTTCAGCTGCTGTTTTCGACAACACGGGCAAGGTCTACGATGTCAGCAAGATTCTTACGCACGATTTTCTCTTTGACCGAGAGGCCTATCAGAGCTACAGCAGAGTGTTCTTGCCAATCACATACGTGTTGAGCTATGGTGTTCAATTCGCTGGTCTGGCTGCTCTTCTGACGCATACTGCCTGTTGGCACGGTCAGGATATATGGAAGTCTTGGAAACGAGCACTTGAGGAGGCTCGCGAGGATGGGCAGCCCAAGTATGAACCGGTAGCGGATTTTCCTGGGCCTCTACCACGACAATCGTTCGACGAGGACCAGAGGCGCATGTCAACATCCACTTCTCATGTAGATGGAATTATTAGCCGCGAAGATATTCACAGCAAACTCATGAAGAGATACAAGGATGCCCCTCTGAGTTGGTATCTAATCACGTTTCTCTCCATGGCTGCCATCGGCATCTTCGTTGTCGAATAGTAAGTCTGCGCCCCCTTATTCAGATGCCTTCCCTTGCTAACTGGTCTAGCTATCCCGTCCATTTGCCCTGGTACGGCCTTCT